CCATTAGATGGATCCTACCATTCTTTCACGAAGGTGTGAGGAATCTAACCTTGTTTTGAACTGGGAAAAATGTCATTTCTTGGTTAGGGAAGGAATCGTTCTAGGACATAAAGTGTCCTCCAGGGGCATCGAAGTAGATAAAGCTAAGGTAGAACTGATTGAAAAGCTTCCTCCACCTCAATCATTAAAGGATGTTAGGGGTTTTCTCGAACATGTAGGTTTTTATAGGCGATTCATTAAAGATTTTTCTAAAATAGCAAGACCCTTGACAAATCTGTTAGTTAAAGATGTACCTTTTGAATTCGATGATAATTGTTTGCATGCATTCAACACTCTTAAGGATAAATTGATTCAAGCCCCTATTGTATCAGCCCCTGTATGGGAACTACCCTTCGAAATCATGTGTGATGCAAGTAATGATATCTTGGGCACAGTTTTAGGGCAAAGAAAAGGTAAGAAATTTCATACCATTTACTATGCAAGTAGGACCATGAATGAAGTACAAAAAAACTATTCCACTACCGAAAAGGAATTACTTGTAGTAGTATTTGCTATTGAAAAGTTTAGATCTTATTTGCTCTTATCTAAAGTCATCGTATTCACCAACAGAGCTTGAAGCCCTTCCGATAAGCACCTGTGCCGATTTCCATTTTCAGCTTATGGAAGGCCGGTGAACACTTGTAAGCGGCGACGGCGGTATCCCCAGCCCCCTTAATCTCCTCGTTGAAGATGGCCTCATGCTCCTACAAGGTGACCTTCAACTCGTCGACTTCTTTCATCAAGTGTTCGACCAAGTCCTTCTTGGTCTATGTGTCGTTCTCGAGCTTGTGGATGACTAGAGGCTCCATGGTCTTCCTCAACCAGGTTAATGACTGGAAGCTCCATGGTCGTACCAGTGGTTGCGGGGTCAATGGCAGGCTTGTCAGCGACCTTGCAGGAAGCGTCACCTCAAGATGTTTTCCACTTCATCCTCTTCTTCATGTCCCCAAAGAGGGCAATGGAAGGGATATCCAACATAGCTCCTATAGAGATCAGACACCAGATTAGCTGAAGTAATTAAAGGCAAATACAAGGGAAAGACAAGTGTGTGTGTCAAGGTGGTCAAGGTGGTGACCTACCTAGAGGACTCAGCCCGACTTCAATGAGCATCTTCTCGGCCAAGTAATCCTCTGCCTTCAGATCGAGGTCCACTAAGAAGTGCATATCTTCTCGTTGCTCCTCATTGAGCTTGTCCCTGGGGTCACTAATGTTGGTCCTCCAGTGCGTCGGAAAAGGCCACCCCCCTTCAGTAGTAATGGTGAAGTATCTCCTCTTCTAGGGTGGAACCTAGTTTGGGTACTCATGGAGAATCTTATACTCAGGTCAATATGAGATGTAATAACTACATTTATCCTTCTGTATGAGGTCGATAGGTTTTTTCTTGATGCCACAAAGCGAACTAAAGGTATCTATGTCCAAGGGAAGGTTGAAGTCATGGAAAACAGAGATGGTCCCAACTATGGTTCGAACCGAGTTCGGGTGCAACTGATCCTCGGTGGTATTAAAATATTTGAGGACCTCAACAATGAAAGGGTGAAGAGGGAAGCGTAGCCCATCAGTGAGTTGCTCCTCGAATATCGTGATCTCGTCATGATCATGTTTCCAAGGAAATCCCTCCAAGGGGATGAAGTATCTGAGGTTATTAGGAAGATTGTATTTGACGATCAGAGCTCGGAGTTTCTCGGGTGACAAAATGGAAGGACCAAACTTATCTGGACCTCGGGATGTACTGGAACAAGGAAGCTACTACTACTCATACTAGAACAAGGAAGCGAACTGGAACGAAGAAAGCTTAGCCGAGGAAAGAAGAAAGCGACCTCGAAGACAAAGGTGGACACCACCGACTTGGAAGCTAGTTTTACGAGCTCCAAATCGCCAAAATTCCAAAGCAAAGTGACAAGAATGGGACCCTAAGGCCCCTATTTATAGTCACGATAGTCGATCTTGGATGGTCTAGATCAAAGAGATCCTACGGTTCTCGTGAAAACCGGTCGCACACCTCCCGAGGCCGAAAACAATTAAGTGCACATTTTGACGTCCACGGAGTTTGGAATCAGCGTGACGTCCGCATGTCCCTCATACGCAACCTGGTTCCTCGATCGAACCGGGTGGATCGCTGCAGTCTGACCACCGAACTGGATATCAACCCGAAGGGGACCGGGCCAAACCGACTAAATCACGCCATGAACTCCTCGCACCAGGTTAGGACCCCTGGCACGAGTTGTGGGGGACAATTGATGAGGGGTGATTTGGCCCGACCTACAAACAGCGGACACGTGAACACGACCTGGTGACTAGACGTGTGACTCAGCATTATCTGGCACCTCAGCAAGTCGGGCCACCTCGGCTAGGACTGAGGTCCGGGTAGCTTAGGACGGCCAAACCTACCGAGGTGACATGTAGCAGATTTCTAGAAGCCTGCCAGGATCGGGTGGACACGATAAGCCTTATCTACTAACATGATGATCACCCCCCGGTGCGGAACGGATTCCTAGTAGCGTGGGCCGTGGATCTCGGAGGTGTTCCGTGAGAGCCACGGCCGCTCAACTATATAAAGGCTCCTACCCCCAGAATACAAGGTACGTGCGATTTAGTGCATTCTAGCTCTCAAGTTCACTTGATTTCATCTCGCAATTCACCAGATACTAACTTAAGCATCGGACTGACCACACGAGGTCAGCCACCCCGGGTACTCTAAGCGCATCTTTCTTGCAGTTCGACCAGCCAGCTAAGTGAGCTACCTTCCAGCTAGGAGCCACTAGATCGCGCACTATCATTAATGATTTTGAAAACCCTAAAATTACAAAGCCTTCAAGTCCAATTCCTTCAAGTCATTTCATCCTTCCATTTGCAAGTAAATGAATGAAATAAAAATGTACATGTAATCGTGATAAATGTAATCAATCATTGAGACTTTCTAGAGGTCCTAAGTCTATAAGTTGTATAGAAAGCAAAGGATATCATCACTAGGACAGCTGCAGCCATGGAAATGGACAAATGACTATACCTATTATTCCAATCCGTTTTGTAACCAGGTTCACTACCGCCATTAGCTATCACAATATTTTCGACCAACCTTGTCTTCACCACTGCACCATCGTTCATGGACACATTACCTTTGTCGCCATCATCTCCATTTCTACTGACAATAATCTTCCCTGTTTCGTCGTCAGAAGTAGTACCCTTCGTCTCTCCCTCGGTAGCCTCTTGGGCCACTTCGTTGGCAGTAGTAGGTTCACTAATCTTGCCTTTGCCATTCATTTGATTACCAGGACTACTAGTTGGGACGATCTCTTTCTGATGCTCATCATCTGATTTTGACTCGTTAATCTGCTGTTCTTTTTTGCCTTCGTTGCCAATTATCCCATCATCCGCAGGCTTCTGATCACCTTCATCCTTCTTGTCTTGTTGTCCGTCCATTCTATTCGCAAGTTTCCCATTGTCACCAGATTCATAATCCTGTTCTTTGTCCTTCTCTATAGTATTTTGGGCCACGTTGTTAGAACTATCAGTTTCAGTAGTCTTGCCGTCACCAAGAGGTCTTTTATCACTTGTATAGTCCGGATGATCCTTATTGCTTTGACCCTTGTTGAGTTGTGGCTCGTTTGTTGGTTCTCTACTCTTTTCTTCTTGTGTGGTTGATTTAAGTTGGACTTGTGGTGTAAAAAATAGAACGTAAAGTACTCCATTATCCTTACGATAAAGAACCTCATCTGTTGAGAAGCCTTTGGGAAGCTGAAACTCCACCTGGAAACGACTCCATATGTCGTCTTCAATGCATCTTTCTCCACTGATCTTCAAGTTATTGGAACGGTCCAGTTGAAATTTTAACATTTCACTTTTAAAATCTGCAAGTGCAAAAGATGAAGCCCAGCTGAAGCCATGGTTTTATGCTTAGGAATTGAAGGTCACAACTCACATGATGATGGTTCAACAAAAATTTTTGTTTAATTTCTCTCTGATGTAATGAAAGAAATAGCTGCAAATTAAATCAACGTTTTCGATTTTACGTACCTAGAATAATTAACAAAATAAAAGATAAAAATAAGGCCTAAGCCTTCTCTGTCTTTTCTCGTTGGAGAAGCCATAAGCCGGCCAAAAGAAATTTGTTTGGTGAAAAAGCTCGAAAAGGGCTTTTTGCATTAAAGCTGGTGACCAGACAAACACTAAAATATGATTTTTGAAAAGGGCTCGACTATTGCCGGATAGATATGATATGGAAAAACTTACAACCAATCAACTGGCATCATGTAAGTAGGAATCAATCAGGTGGTTTTATTATGATTGATCAAATCCCTTCCCATATCATATATGTCTTTCGGGCATCATAGATTTTCCCTTTTTCATCCTTTCCAAAAATTGACTTTTTAGAAACTAAATTGAGAACTGATTGATTAGGCAGGAAATGTATCATCAGCGCACCTGACAAAACCCAATTAATGAAATCTCATCAGCTCCCCACGGGCATATCTCAGTGTGCATTGAGAACATCATCGTATTTATCATTGGAAAATGTTCTTAATACACTGCTCAGTTGTGCTATGAAGCGCCCGCGGGACAAGCTCTCTCGGGCACATATGTGAACTCTAATTATGTACTATTGTAAAAAAGGCATTAATAACGACAGGGAAGAAGAGAGGCACCTGGAAGATGAACAATGCAAATTTTATATCCACCATAATCTGACATATCCAACCAGGGCTCGAAATTTTGGTAATTGCGAGGGGGAGGAGCAGCTTCTTGCATTCTATCCACTGGACTCTTTCTCTTCTTGCTTTAGTTATTTTGTGAGAAAAATGAAATACGACATCCTTGATGACAATGGAAGAATAAGGATGTATATACAATGAGCATCCAATGTTTCCTTTGAAGTGAAATTATTCCCTTCTCGTACTTAATATGGAAGAATAAGAAGTATCCTGCAGCGAATTCAAATTCCAAACCAATCCTTTTGGAGATACCATAGCCACAATAAGTAAAGGACATGTAATCATCAATGTTTGATGTCAGGTTCAACCTTGGAACGTACACGAAGGAATAATTGGGCTCTTTAGAACTTTAAACAAGAAGCAAAGTATATTTGTTTTGCCCTTCTCTCCAAGCAAAACGCCCAAGAAGAGAAGCGAATATGTTGGCTTTCTTTGCATTGGTCTTCTTCTGTATTTGTGTTTAGAAAAAAATCGGTGCTACTGGAAAGACATGCTACCAGAAGAGTTTTGAGCAATCAAAACCCCCCATGAATTTGATAAATAACCAGAAAGGTTTCCATGCTACTGGAAAGACATGATACCATTTCTATGATACCGGTTGATTGATTACAAGATTTTGTATCATGTCTATCTAGTATATACTGGTTGAACTCTTTCCTTTAATCAATATTTAGAGAAAGGTTTTCCTTTATAAAAAAAGATCAGTATCATTCATACTATCAATCAAAACATTTTAAAACCAAAAGAGATTGAATAAATTGTGCAACTTATAAGAGTAACTGTAGGAAAGGCAATAGGGCGAGTTCGAGGCGGGATTATATTTCCTGTCCCCGACCCCAAGTCTGAAATTAATCCCCATCCCCATCCCTGATCTCGCCGGGGATAAAATTTGTCTTTTATCCCCGATTCCCAATAGAGGTGGATTCCCCATGAGAACCCAAATCTCCAAAATATTTTAGATAACAATATTTTTTTGAAAAATAAATTTACTTAAAATAAATAAAAATTTTAAATTATAGATAATGTTTTAAATATGTTTTGATATATATAATATATATAATATAATAATTTATTTAATATATATATATATATGGAGTTGCAGTGGGGCGGGGACCTCAATCCCCATCCACGACCCTATCGGGTCGGGGATTCCCATCAAGCCGTACGCTGTGCAACTTTCCCTTTTTTATATTTTTCGTTTTCCCAACATTTAACTGCCACAAGACTGTATGCTGTTCATCAAAGTGGGCAAGAACAATGGTCTAACATTCCAATATACAATTCCATTATTACCCCTGGAAATTGGAAATGAGAGTGGGGCCAAATAACAAATGTGTTTTTGTCCCATTCTCACCCCTGTAAAGTTGCAAATGCTGGGATGTCCAATTGGGCGAACACCTTGATAATGATATTACCTAATATTAGCATTGACGAATAGAAGGACGAATGTTTTTTTTTTTTTGTGCTAAAAAACGAACAAGAGGAATGTGGTAGAAGGTGTTTTACTACTTTTCTATTCATCATAGTTGATGTGGGATGGACCTGGGAAAAAATAGAGAATTAAGATAAAATAACTTACGAATTATCACCTCAACTTATCTATTTATCACTGGAAAAGAAGTTTTTGAGCTACACTTAAAAGTAAGCAAGTTAGACTGCTTTTCTATTCCTCAGAGTTGAATAGATCAACTGCTTTGAGCTACACTTAAAGAAACACAATTATCTTGTTCACCGCTCCAATGCAACATCTATTAATTCTCACATAGCTACCCTTGGAACTCCAACTCAAACAAACCGACCATTTCTCAAAATTTAAAGTAAACAAAATGAAGTGATTGAAACTGTTATGTAGAGATAACTGAAAGTTATGGAAACATGAAGCATTTAGAGAACTATTTATTAAGATTTGCAAGTAAGATTTAGAGGATTTATAAGAGCAATACTAAAAACAATGAGAACGGAATGATTCAGTCTGTGATGACTGGTCTCTTGAATCATTTAAATAGAGAAATTACAAGAGAATAACTATGTACAGAAGATAACAATTACAGAGTTAGAATTTATCTAGGAAATTACATGATAATGAGATAAGGTGATCAGTTATTTAGGATAACTATCAGAGATACCATCCTAGTTACAAGTCTATTATAACTATTGAGATACTCTAACATCCCCCCGCAAGATTAGCGGTCTCTTGGAAACGGTAAGCTTGGTTGTAAGGTCATGAAACCGTGTTGAAGGCAGCGGTTTAGTAAGAATGTCTGCAATCTGATCATGGCTAGGAATGTGATTGATCAGTAGAAGGTTGGCCGCAACTTTTTCCCGTATAAAGTGAACATCCAATTCTATGTGCTTGGTGCGAGAATGATGTACAGGATTGGAGGAGAGAAACTTGACACTCAAATTGTCGCACCAGATGACAGGTGGGCGAGGGAGCTTGAATCCAATCTCTGTGAGTAACATCTAGAGCCAAAGAATTTCAGCGGCAGTAGAGGCAAGACTACGGTATTCTGATTCTGTGTTGGAGCGAGAAACCATGGACTGTTTACAAGAGATCCACACTGCGATATTCGGTGGCATCTGGAAGAGGAGAACCATTGCTCACATCAAGTCTGGTAGATGCCGCAATTAGTGTATGAACGGGTTTATCCTCATGCATCTTGGTCCGGACAAGAAGATCATGAATATATTTACGTTGGGATAGGTGCACCCCATCTGAACTGTGATGTAGTTCCAAACCCAGAAAGTAATGAGCTTCCCCAAGATCTCAAAGAGCAAAAGTGGTAGAGAGCTAAGAGATGAGTTGAGTAAGTGCAGAAGTAGAAGATCCAGTGATCAATAAGTCATCCACATATACAAGAAGAAAAATGACATCAGTGCCAGTCCGCTACATGAATAAAGAACTATCTGCTCGGGATTCCAGAAAACCAAGGTGAACCAAATGATCCCTTAATCGAGTAAACCAGGCCCGCGGGGCTTGATTCAAACCATAATGGGAACGTTTAAGATGACATACAAAATGTGGTCGTACTAGATCAATGAAACCCATGGACTGTTTCATAAATACTTCTTTACTGAGATAGCCATGAAGAAAGGCATTTCTCACATCAAGTTGTCTAAGATTCCAGCCATAGTGAACTGCGAGAGATATTAGTAACCAAATAGTGATTGGTTTAACCACTGGACTAAAAGTCTCAACTGGCTTGTTGAGTAAACCCTTGCGCCACCAATCGTGCCTTGTATCTTTTCAATGGACCCATCCGAATGACTCTTAATCTTATAAACCCATCTATTGCCCACAATGTTCTTATGAGGAGGTGGAGGTACAAGATCCTAAGTATCGTTGCGCAACAACGCTTTGTACTCATCTTCCATGGCGAGTACCCAACGGGAATCTTTCCTGGCAATAGTGTAGTAAGAGGATTCAACATTGGGGTTAACAGAGGCTTTCGAAGCATACCGAGGGTTTGGCTTGCGAATGCCACTCTTGCTCCGTGTCATCATGGGGTGAGCATTAAGTGGGGTCGTAGTGGAGCAAGAGGGCGTATTTTATGGGGTTAATGATGATGGTAGCAATTCGGCAGAACTAACACCAATAGATATAATAGGTGGGCTAGGGGATGTGGTGCCGGTGGGGACAGGAATGGTTTGAGGAGAGGGGCATGGATATGTAATGATAGGAGGGCCAACCACAGTGTCGGTAGCCGATTTGGGAAGTGGAGTTGGGCTGCTAGAAGTGCATGGGAAGGTATGTTCATCAAAAACCACATTACGAGAAATATATAGACGTCAAGATGTTAACTCAAAGAATTTGTACCCTTTGTGATGTAAACTCTAACCCAAAAATAAACAACACTTGGATTGATATTCTAACTTAGAACAATTATAGGGTTTGAGATGCGGATAGCAAGCACATCCAAAAGTGCGCAACATAGTGTAATTAGGTTTAGTGCCAAAGAGACACTCTAAGGGAGAATTCATGTCCAGACCCGTACCATTGCCGACTAGGATATGATCTATTCCATAATACTCATCGTGAAGAGAGAGATTCCCATGATCTGAAATCATATGATTGGTTGCTCCAGAATCAGGATACCAATTTTCATCACGAGTAGATCATGAAGATGAGGCTGTATGAGCTTGCTTGGTAAGCTTATTTGCAGTGAGTTCCAGATAACGACAACAAGTAGCTGTTGTATGGCCAGGATACCCACAGAGTTGGCAAACCACAATGGCGTTCTTGGAATTGGATATGCTACAATTATTGTTATTATAGGAAGTTTTCTTGGAGTTGTCAGAACCACCATCATTATTAAATTGTCAAGGCTTATAAGAAGATGACTGATTGCAATTGAAGGTTTTCTTCTTATTTCCCAAATTAGTAGAAGGAGAATCCAATACAGATTATGAAGATTGATGCTCTAAGCGCTTTTCAAAGATAAGTAACAGAATTTGAATTTTAGCAAAAGAAAGACTATCTAGTCTAGTAGTCACAAAGAGCACAAAGGTATCATATTCAACAGGTAAACCACCAAGAAGATAATGAATTTGATCAACATCAGTGAGAAAGTGTCCAGAAGCAGCTGGTCTTGTTCGATCATGGATTCAAGTTTTAATTTTCTGAACATAATCAATGACAGTGAGAGCACCCTTCTTCAGATAGGCTACTTCTAATTTCAAATCATGGATTCGAGTTTTACTGGTAGAAGAAAAGAGAATATGAAGTCGATCCCATACCTCTCTGGATGTCTTACATCCAACTACTTAAGCCAGAACTAGCTCTGTTAATGAAGATAATAAGCAACTTATGATCAACTGATCTTGTTCGATCCATGCTACATGACCAGGGTTGCTGCGGCTGGATCCTTGGCAACTGCCATCTTCCAAGAAGAGTGGAGGACAAGGAAAAGATCCGTCCACATAGCCATATAAACGATGCCCTCTGAGAGCTGGTGTAGTTTGAGAACTTCAAAGCAGGAAGTTAGTACGATCCAATTTTATTGAGACTACATTCATAAAACTGGAAAGGGAGACCACCATAATGGTTCGACCATCTGTCGATCCAGGCTGCATTTGTCTCTAGACGGCATG